AAAATGAAATAAATAACAGTGTCCCACCACCACTGGAACCAACGGTCGTCCCACCACCACCGCCACAACAACCACCACTAGAATCAACATCACAACTACAACCACCAACACCGATACCAACAATAGCACTACTAATATTGGTGGTTCTAATAGCACTGATACCAATAATAGACATGGCACCATCATGTCCAAGAAAAGAAAAGGAAAGCAGAGAGAAAACGATAATAATAAACAGTCAAAAGAAGCAGACAGTAATAACCATGGTAATAATAACTGGTCAAGGGAAGCAGACGATAATAATAATCAACAAAAGCCATCAGTTTCTCCTGAACCCCCTACCGATTATAAAAGAAGGGAAATTTTGGAAGCTATGGATCAAGGCCAATATAAACTTTTCACGTAAGTAGTATTATTTAAACTTTCTAGTTTTCACTTGGCAGTACATATAATTAGTATAATAGAGCTATCGGATAATGAATATTAATTTTAATGTATAGGATGAAGTGCTTCAAATATTGGACAGCCTTGACAATTCTTTACATTTGGACTATACAAAAATATGAAAACGAATATATTGTCATGTGACCAAGAATATTATGCCTGCAATTGCTAAGGCTTTGGAAGGAAATTTCAGGTATAAAATGAGTGAATTAAATTACGTTCTTCAAAACCTTCACTGACATCGACAAGAAAAATGGATGATCAATTTGGATCCCATTAAATCGGCTGCTGATAAAAAACAAAAAGGAATAAACGGAAGGTGCCAAGAAGTAAGTGTAACCTATTCAGATACTTAATATAAATCTATAGAAACCTTGTAGAATATATAAAACGTATTATATTGGTATTTTACTAATATTCTACTAGCAATTGTTATAAGCATGAATAATGCTAATATAATACGTTTTATATATTATACAAGGTTTCTATAGATTTATATTAAGTATTGAATAGGCCAATAATTTTTTTTTTATAAAATACCGATCAACTGATATTACTAAAAAATAATCTAATAAACTATAGAAAAAATTAAGAAGAATCTGTGGCATTGGTCACCTGATTAGTATGAAAGATAAAAATCTTATAGACCTTGTCTCTTCTATGGATTGGAATGATTTTATGGCGGAAATTGAAGAAGTAATAAATGATGGCACTATCATTTGAACGAAAAATCGAAAACCGATTATGAAAGAGCGCAATTGGAACGTTGATTGAAGATTCGTCCCAAAACCAAAAGAAGAAATAATTATTATATTCTTCGCGTTTACGATAAGCCATGGAAATCCAGAAAAGTAAATAATTATTATAATTATGAGAATTGTAATTGTAAATTATATTGATTTACAATTTTTTATTCTATATAAATCAGGTTAAAAAAATTTTGCGGCTAGCCAATCAAGTCGGTGAAAAGGTTTCGAAGGTTAAATGTATCAGAAAATGGTGGTACAATGACAAAAGATGGTTCTACAAAATCGAACCACCACTAGATAATCCTCCTGCCTGGACTATTTCAACTACATATCATTCTGAAGAAGATGATGAAGGAGATAATGATGGTGATGATGGTGATGATGATGATGATAATTATGATGATGAGGTGGACGAACTAGAAAGTGATTCAGAACTCGACGATAATACCAACACAAGTGGTAGTGGTACTACTGGAAGTAATAAAACACCAAAAAAAACCGGTGCAAGTAGCAGTGATGCCGGAAGTAATAATACACCAAAAAAAGCCAGTGCAAGTGGCAGTGGTGCCAATACACTGAAAAAAGCTGGTGCAAGTGGCAGTGGTGCCGGAAGTAATAATACACTGAAAAAAGCTGGTGCAAGTGGCAGTGGTGCTGGAAGTAATAATACACCGAAAAAAGGAACTGAAGAAAATGCTGGTAGTTTTGACAATGATGGCGCAATTGGTTGATTCAAGGTATTCACTGATTAATAACATAGTTTTACAAAAACAATACATAGAATTAAATTTATATTCTTATATTAGCATATATTGCATTTTGTCAATTTGATAGTTATTTTTCTATATGTATTATTGCTTTTAGCATAACGATATAATTATATATATTAATACTATAGTAAATCAATTGCTTTAAAAATGTAGCTAATTGAGTATGTATAAATAATAAATAAGTATTACATTAGTTAATAGCCATATCAGAAAACTGTGAGTGCTTAAGATAAAGCGATAAATATCTGGTAGTTTACCAGTAGTCTTAAATTTAGAAATATATCAGATTATCTATAGGCATATCGATTTAACTAATAGGTGCCTTAATTTTGTCTTTTTTTGTTTTATTCCTTACTGACAGGTGCTCTATATTTGCCAAATTTCTGATAGATATAGGGGTCATACCAGTTAAATATCAGTTATAGCTATCAGTTCATTTCTATTGTCTCTTTGAGAACCTTCCAGGTCATATCAGCATTCTGATAGTTGCCTGGTATGTCTTTATTCAACCTTAAGAAAGAGGTAAAGTTGTGAAAAATGTGTAAAATATTGTTAAGGAAAATATTACATATATTGTTTATACATGTATAAATATGGTAAAGTGATACTTTAATAAATGCAGATGTTCTTTTATATAGTGAGTTAACGATAAAAAATTGGTAAGAGTCTGAAAGTAATTTTTTAAGTTTAGTATTATGATAAGAAATTATTTGAAATTTAAGAAAATTATATTTTTTGTTCATTAATATGTGAGAATTGTTTTTGGTAGGAGTTAAAAAATTTTAAAAACAAGGGTGTGGTGACTTAGTGAAGTTGGTAAGTTGTCACACCTCCAAGCAGCAGAACCAGAGTTCGAATCCCACTGGTGACAAAATTTGAATTTATGGAAAATGTATTTAGAAGACTGTATCCTATTGGGTTAGCACCTGTAATAGGGTCATACTAGTACTATTGTACTGAGAGGCAGTGGAAATACTGTATAATATATGAATTGCACGACAGTGAAGCTGCTGGATAAATCCAGCGGATTAGGATACGGAAGCCTGCTTGGCAAGACCCAAATAAAGAGATAGCACAGATTTTTGACGGTACTACTTGATAATCCGAAAAGAGAGAACCAAACGGCATGAAAAGAGAAACCAAACAGCAGGAAAAGGGTGAACCAAATGGCAGGAAAAAGAAAAACCAAATGGCAGAAAAAGGGGAAACTGTACAGGACTGAAGTATTTGGCAAAACACTCCACCAACCAGGCTGCCGGCTGAGTAACCAGAGGAAAAAGACCTAATCGTGAATACTAGAGGCAGATCACAGCCCTTCCGGGCTATCTGAATTAGAAGTTAGATGAATTGGAAGTAGGGCTTAGTTTGGGAAACCGGAAGTAGAGCTTACTGTAAATGGCCATATAAAAGACCCCCCATGGTAGTAGATCCCCACTACTGTATCCGGGTCTATTTCACAGGTTAATTATTTGGTTGAATATAAGAGACCTGGGTCTTTAGTACCGGGGGTACTTTATATAAAGGATCATGATATAGTATAATGGAATTAAATTTTAAAGAATTGTATTTAATATTCGATCCGTAAATAAAAATTATACAACTAGAAATTATTAAAATAATTTAAATTGTAATAGCAGTGTTTATAAATTTATTAAATATGACTCTGCTTTATAGAGTCATATTAAATCTATTTAAATTCTCTAAAATTTGATGTAAAATGTTACGAAGACTTCCTCTATTTGCATATTAAAATGCTATCAAATATTCATTGCTAGCAGTATTTTGTGTTAGTCTATATATTTTAAGTTTGCTACCCACCAGTCTATTGCTATATGATTTCTAGTCCCAAATATTTTCATATTCGACCATTTCATTTTCATAATACATATCCTCTCTATCGTTTTCATTAAACTCGCATTCACTTATAGCTAACTGAAACTGATTTTCACCTGTAGCTGAATTAATGTTATGAATTAAATCACTGTCTTGAGTTGATTCATAAACATTTTCATTATCTTGACTTAGATCGTAGACATTTTTATTGTCTTGAGTTAAATCATAGATAATTTCATTATCTTGAGTTAAATCGTAGGTACTTGCATCGTCTTGAGTTAAATCGTAGATACTCACATCGTCTTGAATTAAATTATAAATATTTTCATTATTTTTAATTAACTAAAATATTTATAAACACTTTTATTTATTATAAATATACTTACCAAAATTATCTAAATCTGAATTGCCTTTATTGTTTCAAACTAAGTTTGTTAAATCAAAATATTTAAAACATATTCACCAACTATAAGCATACTTACCATCATTTATATCTAAACTATTTCTGCGACTTTCGCTATCATTTGGCTCTAAATTTTCAAATATGTAATTGCCACGTTTATGTTGATTTTCTGGATTTTCCACCCAATCATAGTCAAAAATTTTATTGTCTTCTGATCCATCTTGTACTGTGGAAATACCACAGCACTTGAATGAGCGTATAATAAGGTTGGTGTCGATTTGATTCCATGCTAAATTTACCCAATTAGCTACTAAGCTATATAAAGAGCGCTGGATATGACCTGAAGGAGTTAGTTGGTGAATTTCATTTGCTATTCATTCGTTATAGTAGTTGCAATACTAATAATAAAAAAATAAGTTAACTTTTAATTTTACAATTAAATTAATTTTATCTTATTTTTAATTAGAAATTTACATATAAAA